CTGTCTGTCAGTGAAAGAAACTAAACAACAAAAGTCTGCCCGCCTCTAGCCTCCCAAGCTACGTCCTTTGGGGTGGCATGCTACCTGTACCTGAACATGATGTTCCCATATAGGGTGAGCCACAACCCAGTAGAAATATACTAAACCAAATATGAACAATGACTAAAAGATTAGCAATTGATAGATGGCCAACACTGATACTTTCCCTTATCACACTTTACGGTTTCATGACATACAAGTCCATGTTACAATCCATTTTCCGATTCTTTTCAATTCTCAATTTATAACCATGGCTCAGAACCTGGCCAAACAACTTATATGAGACAGTAACTCATATTAAATTTCTTCCCAATTCATATTAGATAAGCGTACTAGCTATATCAACACATCAACAGATATGCATACGAGCTATATCATCACTTCCAAAGATATGCATAAGAGCACTATCACACTTCCAAAGACAAGCATATGAGCTATGTCAACACATTACTAGATAAGCATATGAGCTCTATCTATGGAGTCCATCCCCTATCTTCTCCCAACAACATCCGGTTTAGAGGTCCATCTCCTATCATCTCCCAAACCGTGGAGTACATCCCCTATCTCCTCCAACATGACACAATGCATATAAACAATAATTATACACATCATCACACAACACATAACTTTAATGTATTCTTTCAACCGTCATACTCAATGACACATTCCAGTGATTAGTTTCAGTTTGCCTAATCATCATGCATTATCTACAACAATCAAGACTATCCTCCACCGATAGCCCAAAGCAGTTATTTCAATACAGAAAATAAATGCAACAATGGATATATAATCAACATTTCAACCAGGTGAGTGATAAATAATCCAACTACACCCTTTAATTCCATACATTTCCAAATCAATTTCTTATTCCTCATAATTAATTAAGCAAATTAATTAATCAATGTAATTAGGGCATTTTTCATAATTAACATTACAATCCTTAGATTCCATTTTCATTAATGTTTTAACATTAATTTCACTTTTCCATGCCAAACATGCATCTATGTTTTTATATAGCTAAAATCCCAACTTTTGTAAATTTACACAAAAGCCCCAAACTTTCACAAAATTACCCAATAACCCCCAACATATCGAAATGCCAAAATTTAAAGACAAAACTCATAGAGAGGAGTAGGATATCCCTACCTCAAAAGATAACTCCCAACCAAGAAAGTGAAGAAGACGAAAATGCTCCAACCCACGAACTTCTCGGATCAAAAGATAGCCCTCGACGATCAACAACCTTTTTGTAAAGGCCAAAGGTGAGGAAATCACTCCTACTAGATCAATACCTAGAGAGAAGTCAAGGTTTTAGAGAGAGGAGCTCTCAAAATGGGTTTTAGAAAAAGTAGGAGAGAGAAAGGAAAGTAAAAAGTGATTTAAAATCACCCGCGGATAACTCATATACGCATGACCCGCTCGAGCGGAGAACACAACGCTCGAGCGCTAAGAACAAAATTTGGACACGCTCGAGCGCAATAAGGCCCGCTCGAGCGCCAAGACACAAGAATAAAGCACTTCTGCTCGAGCGCGAAAACCAGTCCGCTCGAGCGTAGATTTCCCCCTCCCAGAACTTATACCCAGAAAGTACTACCAGCTCGAGCGCCAGAAAACCTGCTCGAGCGCCACCGCTCGAGCGTAAACAAACCCGCTCGAGCGTAAAAATCACATCTGCAGAAGTTTTGCAGGAACACGAAATACTGGAGGTGTGCAATCCCCGCTCGAGCGCAAGAAGACCCGCTCGAACGGATCGCCTAAAAACTGGACAACAAGGAATTGAAACCAAGGCCTAACCAACCTGTAACAACCCTACTCAAAACATCCTAAAACACAATCAAGTGGAATTAAAGGACGGCAACAAGATAGATACCACTACCAACTTCACGGAACCGAGTCCGAAATACAATAGAACAGTAAAGGGACAACCGGGATCGCTATACTCTCTCTCTCTCTCTCATTCTGCTTGAGCAACCAAGCTATTTTCCTATCTGTTTATTTTTCTCCCTTTCTCCCCTCCTTCTCTGACTTTAACACTACCAACACACCCACTGCTGGCACCATCATCGTTATTGTTGTTATTGTTGATGATGATAATGAAAAAATAAATTGCAACAAATTTAAAAAAATGATAGATAATATGACAAATTTGTTCAAAATTTGAACATATAGAGGCTTGTTATTGCAACAGATAGGGGTTGATTTGGCTTTGTATTTCAACAGATAGTGGTTGATTTGGCTTGGTATTTCAACACATAGAAAAAAATAAAATAAAAAAATTAAACAGATAATAAAATTTGGACAAATATTTGAATAGATAGGGAAAATTTGAACAGATAGTCAAAGAAATTGAAAAGATAGATATAAATTTGAACATATAAAAAATAATTTGAACAAATAGATAAATAAAAGTTAACAGATAAATTAAAGGGATAAAATTGAAAACAAAATGTTTTCCCAAAAAGATAAAAAGGATTTCTCACCAAATTATTTTACAAATGGTAAAACTTTCGCTAAAAAAAAATATCTACTGAATCTAATGCCTTATATCCTTTTTAGATTGGATTTATCATAAATTTTCTCAAAATAAAAAATCACAAAAATAAATATGATATTTATTTATAATATAAAAAAATGATGGAGCAAACCAAGAAATGCCTTTTAAAAAAAGAAAATTATATTTTAATTGAATAATGTAAATAAATAAAAAATCATTTTTATAATAATACAATTCTCTCGTGTGCATAATAAGTATTTCTTATTTTTGGTATCTTCTTGGCACGTTACACTTGCACAAAAAATAAAAAATCTTTTCACTTATAATGTAATTATTTTAAAAGTATATCATTTATTTTTAATTTTGTTTTTTAAAAAAGTAGTCATAATCAGAGTAGAGGAAGAATGGGAGTGTAGTGATGAATAAGGATATAAAGGTGAGGGACACTACAACAGAAATATTGGTAACCTTATTCTATTACTTAAAATTGAAAAAGGAGATGATAGACTAAATTTTTCCTTTAAAACTCATCTTCTCCTTTGAAGTTTTTATTTTTATAACAAGTATTCATTTTATTAAAATTTATTAGTTAATTCAAATTTTTTTTATGATGTCAAGAATTTATTTTATTAATAATTTAGTATTTTATTATTTTATAGACATAAGTTAGAAATTTTATTTTTTTCAATAATTATGTTAAATAAAAATTATAATAAAAATATTTATAATTTTTTCTATTATAAAAATAATCTTATTTTAATCAATTTCAAGGGATATTTTAAAATTTACCCAATTAATAATTTTGAAAGATTCTATTTGGGTGGACGTGAGCAAAGCCCTCTCATCCACAAGCCCATGAGAATTTTATTTATTTATTTATTTGATTATGAATATATATGGATAAATGAATGACTAGCAATTCATCAACTCTTATC